GGCTGACAGAGCAAGAGCTCTGCTCAACAAAAAAAGAAAAAGTAAAGAAAAAAGCAAAAAGAAACAGTAGATCTTTTTCTGCAGGCCATGGGACAATTTACAGGCAGAATGCCTTTGGGCCTGAAAATACTAGGTCGCCTAACTTCAGCCAGTGGCTCAAACAGTAGGCCCACCCCGCGCCTTTTCTGCGTTCAGTGATCATCACAGTGTTTTGTCACGTCCGTTTTCATCGGCTGCGTAATTAGGCAACAGCTTTCCAACACCCTTATTCGCTCTCACTGACATTCCCCTCTCGCGCGCGCCGTGAAAGGGTGGCTTTTCTTTTGGCTGTTTCTTAGTTAAGGGAGAAGACTCAGAAGTGTTGGTGGACCTCGTCTCGTGACCCACTCGTGCTTTACTTGGCTGGGTCCTACCACAGTGCTCATTCCTGAACAGGCTCGCGCGCGCAGACTCCTCTATTGTTGCCTTCGCACTTCTCTTCTTCGCCCGCTGGCGGCGCTCCTTGCCTGCCTCACGACTAATCCACTCGATTGTCCGTTTTCCTCCAGCACGACAGAACACGCCCGGCTCCCCGCTACTTGGCTAGCCCGCCCCGCGCCCGCTGCTTCTCCTCGTCGGGCTCCCCATCCCTCGGCGCTTGCTGCAGCTCGCGCGCCTCCTCGCTCCTTTGAGTATTAAGGGCATTCTGGTTATGGTATAAAGCAGGGATTTAGCCGGGCGCCCGGTGGCTCACGCCTGTAATCCAGCATCTTTGGGCAGGCTGAAGGCGGGCAGATTCACAAAGGTCAGCGAGATCGAGACCCAGTCCTGGGCTAAATGGTGAACCCCTTGTCTCTACTAAAATACAAAAAATTAGCCGGCGCACGATGGTCGGGCGCCTGTAGTCCCAGCTACTTGGGAGGCTGAGCAGGAGAATGGCATGAAACCACGCGAGGCGGAGCTTGCAGTGAGCCGAGATCAAGCCACTGCACACCAGCCTGGTGACAGGACGCAGCCGTGCCGCGTCACATCAAAAAAGTACACAAAGCCA